GGAGTTGATCTTTGACGACCAAAATTACTCGGATGAGAGGAAGATGGCGATGGCTTGTATTGAGTTTACGGACTATCCATTGGCTTCGTGGGATCAATTGTGCATGAAGAAGATAAGAGAAAGGCGCATGCCTATTGAAACATGGGATGATATGAAGGGCATAATGAGAGATTGATTTGTGCCAAGCTATCATCAACGGGAGATGCACCAATCAATGCAACTTCTTCGACAAGGCAACAAGAGTGTCGAGGATTACTATCAAGAGATGGAGCTGCTAATGATTCAAGATAATGTTCATGAAGATAGGGAGGCTACCATAGCTCGATTTCTACATGGTCTTAACTGGGAGATCCATAATAGTTTGGAGATTCAACAGTTTGTGGAGATAGAGGACTTGGTGGCTATGGGCAGTAAGGTAGAGAGGCAACAAAAGAATAGGAGGTTTCTACCTCTACAAGTACTCTGAGGCCTACTGACTCGCACGAAACTACACCACGAATTAATCCCGACTAGAGCCCAAGTTTTTAAACTATAGCCGGGTGCAGTATAGGGAAAGTATTTAAATTGTCAACCCGGGCCGGTCCATGTACCCCTACTTCAATCGCTTAAGTTGTTATCTAGCAAAACGGTTTTGGGTTTAAAACTATGAAAACTACAAATGAAAACAAGCAAGGAAAGGAAATGGAGGAGAATTCTACTTGAGAGAGCTTCACCCGGGTATTGCTCCCCCTAGTCTCATGCCAAGAAGCAACAAACAAAGCTCTAGTGTGAAGGACGTGTTCATACACCGCTAGGTGGGTGCAACTAGCTAGGAACAAACTCCCTTAGTCGATCAATGAAGGAAAATCAAAAAATGTAAGCTAGGGGAACTAGCTCTCTTAATTGTTAGGTCAAGGATTGTGATTCATAGCTAGGGAGTCTAGCCCTCTTTATCGATCAACCAAGGAGATCCCTAACTCTCTCTTAGTTAGCTAATTGAGAATCGTTGCAACAAGTTAGAAAGATAACTCACTTAACCTTTCGGCTAAGAGTGACAACGATGGGCTAGGAAACCTAACCCTCTCAACTAGCTAGCTAAGGATGGCAAACCAAACCCTCGGAACTTAATCCGGTCGGTGGAGAGAGCTATCCCGGTGGAATCACGACCCTACTCCGATATTTGAGTTTTTTGTCTTAAATTGACCTAAAGGAGGTTACCCAAGTGGTTAATGAGTCTAGCTCCTAATTGGACCAAGAGGGTATTTCCACCCTCTAGGTTAATTTCACCCAATATTGAGTTAAAGCTAGCACACTCAATCATTCACGAATAATACCTCAAATATTATATAAAACACACAATCAACACAAAAGGTTCATGTTGTTACATCCTAACACATAGAGAGGCTAGGATTCACAATACCCAAGTGAGTAGGTAGGCTATTCTATAGCTAAACAAGAGAAAACAACAAAAGGAGAGAAATAACCATGAAGTGATGTCAATCTTTCATCCTTGTTGCTTGAGACACCCTTGAGATGAAGAAATTTTCAATCCTCTAGCTAGGAACAAGCCCACAGCTCCTTCGTTGACCGTGAACTCGCCTTGCGCTAGTAACTGCAAAAATCGCCCTAGACGCTTCGCGGTTCAGGTTTATGGCTTCAGTTCACAGCATTAGGAGATCGTGAACTCCAATGAGAAACCGTGAACATGGCCTGAAACCTGGATGTCTGCACTTCACTATTTCTACGGTTTTTTGCGTTGTTTGACATCCAATTATCCCAAAATTCGACCTCGACCCTTCCATACGTGCTAGGACCCGAAATGTATCAAAACAAGCACAACCTAGCGTGAAATATATTGAGGAACGATGATCAACTAAGCTAAGCGAATAAGAAATGATGGGTAAAATGTGTACATTTGGGCCCGAATCACCTACTACAACACCTACTTCGAGTATTCCTCCAAAGGAACCACCAAAACTTGGGCCAAAGGTGGAGGCTCCAAGCCCTAGTACCAAACACGGGACATCATCTGGTGGGATTCAATGCTTTAAGTGTCATGGATGTGGGGCATATTGAGAGCCAATGCCTCAACAAGGAGAGCATTGGTACTATTGGAGAATTGTGAGTATGTGTCCGATGGTGAAGAAGAAGAACTAGAAGAAAAAGATTCATCTGATTATGAAGTAGATGAGACCCTAGAGATGGAGACACCTCTGGGCAAATTGTTTGTAGCTTGAAGGTTATTAAACATCCAATCAAAGGAAGAGCTTGAGAAACGAGAGAACCTCTTCCATACAATGTGCGTGGTGAATGGGAAGACCCTTTCGGTTGTGATTGATGGAGGAAGGTGCACCAATGTGGTTAGCGCGAGTTGTGTGAAGAAGTTGGGGTTGGAAACATCGATTCATCCAAAACCCTACACTCTTCAATGGCTCAATGAAGATGGTTTGATCAAGGTAGCAAAGCAAGCCTTATTGAAGTTTACCATTTACAAGATAAAGTGACGTGTGATGTGGTGCCTATGAAAGAAAATCATGTTCTACTTGGGAGGCCGTGACAATTTGATTAATGTGCACAATATGATGGTGTCACCAAAAAGTACACGTTGTTGCACCAAGGTAAAAGGATTGTATTGAAACCTCTTTCTCCTGGGTAACTTTATGAAGATCAATTGCAAATGAAACAAATTCGAGAGGAGGAGAAGAAGGCTCAACCCGCAAAAGGTGCAAAGAAGGGTTCGAGTAGCTTGGAGTCCAAGGCATTAACAATGTTGAAGGATCGGTTGGAAGGAGAATTCACCAAGTTCATTGCAATGTTGAAGCAGGTGCACATCAACTTACCATTCATGGAGGCCCTTGCCCAAATGCCTAAATGTGCCAAGTTCTTGAAGGACATCATTAGAAACAAGAAAAGCTTGGGGATCTATCCACGGTGATGCTCGATGAAGAGTATTCTGCCATCCTGAAGAACAAGCTGCCAAAAAATGTAAAGACCCAAGAAGTTTTACTATCCCTTGCACTATTGGACCCATACATACAGAAAATTCCATGCCTGGCCTAGGGGCTAGTATTAATTTAGTTCCATAATTTTTTTGTAGAAAACTAGGCCTCGGTGAACCCTCTACCACTAGGATAAGCATTCAAATAGCATATGGTTCTATTATGCATCCTATGGAAATTGTAGAGAAGTTACTTGTTAAAGTAGGTACATTCATATATCCTATTGATTTTGTGATCTTGGACATATATGAGAATGTGAATGTACCTTTAATCCTAGGTAGGCCCCTTTTTGGACAGCGCCAAAGCCTTGATCAATGTGAATGATGGTAAACTTATCCTGAAAGCCAGGGAGGAACAAATCACCTTTTTTCCATTTCTGATAGCATTAAGCACTTAGATGTGCATATAGAGCTGTTTGTGATCTTTTGGCATGCTGTGATTGACGTTATTCTTTCTATCTTTTGTTTTTTTTATGCCTTTATGTTTACTTTTGTACGATAGAATGAGTTCCTAAGTTGAGATTTCATTCCTTCGTGGTGCAAGCATCGAAATCCTAGTCGCATAGATAGACCTTAACTATTAGGATAAATAAACGAATCACACTTTTACCAGTTTTTTGAGAATTCCCTTTCGGATAATGGAACTCTATTATAAGTGCATTTAACATGCATTTCTTTCTTCCAATCCTTAAAATCCTGGGACCAACGGAGATGATAGTTCTATACGATTGACCCTCGATTTGATCAATCATCGTGATGCGTTAAAAGAGAAATCCGAAGGGTCCTTGTTGCCTGCCATACCTAGGCAAGAAGCCTTGACACAAGGTTGGATTAGATCACATAATAATCAAGCAACTCATACTTTAGGATCAAGATTTGAGTCAAGGAACTTTAGGGGGAGCTTTGCTTGTGCAACGCCTCGTCCTCCTGCTTTCTACACTTGCATAGTTATAGATTTCCTTTTACATATCACTTTTAATTTAGATTTCTATAAACCCAAGGGCAACTTCTAACCCGGAGAAACCACAACCTCCAAATTCATTTTAAGAGATCCTAGAACTCGTCCCCGATCACATGAGCAAGTGGTGAGAGACCCTAGAGAATTAGAATCCTAGTGCTAATTTGGAACACTAGTACAAGTGGATCAAAGAGGAAGATCACGGAGGTGATCTGAGAATGTTTCAAATGATCTCCAAAATGGCGTCGCATTGATTAGTTGCACTGCTGACTTTGATTATCATGAGACCGGAGATCATGTGCATGAACGCAGCTTCACGGTTGAGTTAATGACCTATATAGCTGCTTGTGATCTACCTCATTTTGATCGCGATCCTCTTTGTTTCTTGTCACTAAAGATCATGAAGAAAATAGGGTGGTTCACTGTCGTGATCTTCAAACTGTATGGGCGTGAACTTCACGGCCAGGGATCACGGTCGAGATTTTCAAGGTCTGCCTGCGATCTTCTGGATTTTCCCTCATTATCTTCTACACTTGTTCTCCAAGACTTGAATCATGCCCAAATCTTTACATTTCTTGGTAAGACCTAAAAATGCAGTAAAGAAACCACCATAGCCTAAAATGGAGCAACTACGGACACAATTTTGGTAAATAAGCATGATAACACCTAATAATGGAGTATTTAGTACTTATTTAGGTGAAATCAATTTTAGAGTCACTAGAGAGAAAAAAAATATTGTTTATGTTGTCAATATTCATAGTCGAGCAATATATAGTTTACGACAGTTTCATGAAGATGCAACTCATAGAGTGCTTATATATTTGAAGAGTGAAGCGCCAAGGTCTTTTTACTTCCATAGGTAGGTGCAAATCTCGTTTCTTGGCATACAAAGAAGCAAACTACTAATTGCACGGTCATCGGCCGAAGCAGAGTATTGAGTTATGGTGAGCACATTAAGTGAATTCATCTCGCTTTGATGGTTGTTGCATTAGTTAGGAGCAACACAAAATGTCACAATGGTCCTTCATTGTGATAATCAATCAACACTACTTGTGGAAACGAATTGTTGCTTTTGTGCATGAACATTGTGGCATCTCGAGAGAAATCATAGATCAAGGAGTTGATCTCTCTAACTTCTCCTATTTGATTCCCAAGTTTGGGTTATATGATTTTCACGCCTCAATTTGACGGGAAGTTAGAAGTTACATGTCATCTTATTGTGCATGGTCTCACAGGCGCATGGATTAAGTTGCCCCCTTTGTTTAATTTGGTAATTTGTATGCATTTATTCCTAGCCCAAGCCTGTTAAACACAAGAACAAAATATCAATAACACCTGAAAGCTCTACATCTCCATAAAGTAATCCCGTTCATACCTAACGATGAAAGCACGTAGTGTTCCACTTCCCAGTACATAGCTAGTTTAAGAGGTTTCGAACCGAAATTTTGCAAGTAAAACCAAGAAGATGGCACGAAGGTGCAACGAAGGGAAAAGGGAATACTACGACAGTCGGCTCAGACGTGTGATTCGGCGGCAAGGTGCGATGACTGATGACATCGCAATAGAAGGTGTGGAAGGGATGTGCTGTGTTTAGCTTTAGACGAAGAAATAAGAAAGACTTGAGCCACCCGACTGTTCAAAATTACAATAGCAGAGAAGAAGTAAAAATATACAACACTAATAGTAATACAATCATTCCATCACGACATGTATGAAGCTCATTTAACTTCTTCGATTTCGTCCAAAGCATAGTTGTTCGTAGATACATTTGCGTAGTTAACTTTGTCGAATCGGACCACAACTGGGTAGCGAGTCTTGGGGTCCTGCGCAACCAGCAAACAGTTTGAGTGGATGTTAAACCCAACCCAACAAAAGAATTAACAAAGTTTACAACTTGCAAATTTTATTTCTCACCTGATCAACAGCTACTACGGATCCAATCCCATTGAACCAGTAGGATTCCCTCCTCATAATCTTCACCTGTTGAACATGTTTTCAAAAACCCAGATACGTCAAACCTTACTGAACACAGAAAACGACTAATTAGCTTGCCTTCAAGGCCAGTAGTATATAGGGTTCTGTATCTGTAGAAACTAATCAGACGGGCTGGTTTTGAAATAGGAAGTCTAAAGTAGACCAAACAAATTTGAGAGCGGTCGTGCGCCTTTTAGACGGACTGGAATTCCAAATCAGTACTGCTCTTTTTTGGTCCCCCTGTTTCTTGCTGTATGTTCAGTGAAAACCCAGTAGGGGGGAAATGGGAATGAGAAGCTAACCTTGGTTCCTCTCTTGGGTCCAATCGGTGGCGGCTTGACCTTAGCCTTAGGGGCTTCACCCTCAGCAGGAGCTGGAGTTGTAGCAGTAGCAGCAGGTGGCGCCGCTCCCTCGTCCGCGGCCGCCCTCACAACGAGCTGCAGCCGGGAACCGCTGCTGCTGTTCTTGGGTGCGAAAAACAAGAAGCTGCTGCCGCTGGTCTTTGAGGTTGTTGTGACGTTAGGTGTGAAGACGAACCCTGAAGCGGCCGACGCCATGTTGCAGCTAGCCATGATTCAGGGTGTGGAAGCAGATAAATTGGAAACAGCAGAAGTTGCAATTGGGGAGTGTGGCTTTTGAGTTTTGAGCAATTTGTGTGGCCGGTTTTTTCCTTTTTTTCCAGGGCTGGTGGCAAGTTAGAATTATCTCTATCTTGGAAGGTAAAGTTAAGGGGAAGATCGTTTCATCCACTGAGATACTGCCACTTGGTCACCATATCTGGTTCCTATGGCTATGGATAATGTGATTACAAGTCATCTCGTCTCCCCACCAACTTTAATAATTCGGATGCTCTCCACTCAACCCCAGCTGCGAGACTAGATCTAATGCCAATTTCTCAAGGGGCCAGTCTGTTACAGTTTGGTGGAGTTTCGCTGCGTAATTAAAATTCTCCTCATTGGATTTGCTAGGCACTAAAGATGGGCTGAGATCTTGTGACTAGGGATAGGTCGTTTGGAAGTTGCGATTGTTAAAGAGATGTATTGTTGAGAATGCATGTATAATATTATACATGTATTGTCGAATTTGATGCATTGTAGAATACAATGTTTGGTATGTGAGACTATGTATGTCACATCAGCTAAAAGCTGAGACAAAACAATCTCAACTCAACTATCTCAACAATCAAAACTAAAAGTTGAGATATAACAATCACTCAAAATGAGTGATAGTTTCTGTCACATCATAGAAACAATCCATGTATTGTTTCTGCTAAAAAAAACAAACAAAAAAACGATGCATTGTAAACAATACATGCATAATGACAATCTCAACAAAACAATCGCAACTTCCAAACGACCCCTAAATGAATCTTCGCTTTTGCACCTCGTTAAAATTTAATGGTTCAGATTAATCTCAGTTATTGAAGGACAAGATGGTAATTACACAAATTAATTATTTAAAAATAAAATTAAAAATAAAAATTGGGTTGAATTGGCTGTCCCCTCCCGCCGGCCGCCTGTTTCCGGAGACCTGCCGCCGACCACCCTGGGAATTCCGGTTGCTTTTTCGGCGATGGCAGAGGAGTCCAACGACCAGACACGGCAGAGATGGATTTTCCAATGACAGTGTCGGATTCGTGATGTTTGTCGACCTATTTTGTAATGTTTATCATTCCAGTTTGTAATGTTTATATCAATTCGGTTTCTATCGTTTATCATTGTAGTTTGTTATTTTTATCTATTATGTTTGTAATGTTTATATGACTATTTTGTACATATTGTAAAATGTAATGTTTGTTTGTCTATTTTGTATATTTTTATGCTATGATTTGTATACTTTGTATTAATTTTTTTAGGGAAAGGATGGAGCGCACAAACACAGATTTTGGGCGATTTATGGGAATGGTCATTTTTCTTGGATTTTGAAGGCGACGGATCACAGATTTGTCCAAAGGGTACTCTCCACCAATGATGAAGTCTACTAATCGCCGATTTGGGCATAAATTTGGTCGAACTTTTGCGGATGGCATTTTGGTAATTTTCTTCGATTTTTTTGAAAGGCCGTTTTCCATGGATTTCGAAGGCTGCAGATCACGGATTCAGGCTGAGGCTATTCTTTAGGGATGAATGAGTCTATTAGACACTGATTTGGGCGAAATATTTCCAGGCCATTTTTGGCAGATTCCAAAGGGGTACCATCACCGATTTCAGGCGATTTTTTGGAAAGGCCATTTTCCTTGGATTTTGAAGGCGACGGATCACAACTTCGTCCTTAGGGCACTCTCCACCAATGATGAAGTCTACTAATCGCCGATTTGGACAAAAATTTGGTCGAACTTTTTCGGAGTGCATTTTGGTAATTTTTCGGCGCTTTTTTTGAAACGTCGTTTTCCATGGATTTTGAAGGCTGCAGATCACTGATTCAGGCTGAGACTATTCTTTAGGGATGAATAAGTATATTAAACACCGTTTTTGGCGAAATATTTCCGGGGCCATTTTTGGCAGATTCCAAAGGGGTACCATCACCAATTTCAGGCAATTTTTTGGAAAGACCATTTTCCTTAGATTTTGAAGGCGACGGAGCATAGATTCGTCCTTAGGGTACTCTCCACCAAAGATGAAGTCTACTAATCGACGAATTGGGCACAAATTTTGTTGAAATTTTCGGATGTCATTTTGGTAATTTTTGGGCGATTTTTTCGAAATGCCGTTTTCCATGGATTTCGAAGGATGCAGATCACGGATTCAGGCTAAGACTATTCTTTAGTGATGAATAAGAATATTAAACACCGTTTTGGGAGGAATATTTCCGGGACCATTTTTGGCAGATTACAAAGGGTACCATCACCTATTTCAGGCGATTTTTAGGAAATGCCATTTTCTTGGATTTTGAAGCCGACGGATCACAGATTCGTCCTTAGGGTACTCTCCACCAATTAGGGAGGGCATTTTGGTAATTTTTCGGTGATTTTTTTTGAAACACTGTTTTCCATGGATTTTGAAGGATGCCGATCAAGGATTCAGGCTGAGGCTATTCTTTAGGTATGAATAAGTCTATTAAACACTATTTTAGGCGAAATATTTCCGGGACCATTTTTGGCAGATTTCAAAGGTGTACCATCACCGATTTCAGACGATTTTTTGGAAAGGCCATTTTCCTTTGATTTTGAGGGCGACGGATAACATATTTGTCCTTATGGTACTCGCCGATTTGGGCAAAAATTTGGCCGAACTTTTGCTAAGAGAATTTTGGTAATTTTTCTTCGATTTTTTTGAAAGGTCGTTTTCCATGGATTTTGAAAGATGCAGATCACGGATTCAAACTGAGGCTATTCTTTAGGGATGAATGACTCTATTAAACACCAATTTGGGCAGAATATTCCCGTTGACATTTTTGGCAGAATCCAAAGGTGTACCATCAACGATTTCAGGCGATTTTTTGGAAAGGCCATTTTCCATGGATTTTGAAGGCGACGGATCACTGATTCGTCCTTAGGCAGAAATTTGATCGTACTTCTTCAGAGGGTATTTTGATAATTTTTCGGTGATTGTTTTGAATCGCGGTTTTCCAGGGATTTTGAAGCCTGCGATCAAGGATTCAGGCTGAGGCTATTCTTTTGGGATGAATAAGTCTATTAAACACCGTTTTGTGCGAAATATTTCCGATGCCATTTTTTGCAGATTCCAAAGGGGTACCTTCAACGATTTCAGGGGATTTTTTGGAAAGGTCATTGTCCTTGGATTTTGTAGGCGACGGATCACAGATTCGTCCTTAGGGTACTCTCCTCCAATGATGAAATCTATTAATCGCCGATTTGGGCAGAAATTTGGCCGAACGTTTTCAAAGGGCATTTTGATAATTTTTCGTCTATTTTTTGAAACACGGTTTTCCATGGATTTTGAAGACTGCAGATCACGGATTCAGGCTGAGGCTATTCTTTAGGAATGAATAAGTATCTTAAACACCGTTTCGGGCGGAATATTTTCGGGGCCATTTTTGGTAGATTCCAAAAGGGTACCATCACAGATTTCTGTCGATTTTTTGGAAAGACTATTTTCTTGAATTTTGAAGACGACAAATCACAGATTCGTTCTTAGGGTACTCTCCACCAATTATGAAGTCTACTAATCGCCGATTTGGGCAGAAATTTGGTCGAACCTTTGCGTAAGGCATTTTTGTAACTTTTCGGCGATTTTTTAGAAAGACCGTTTTCCATGGATTTTGACGGCTGCAGATCACGGATTCAGGCTGAGCCTATTCATTAGGGATGAATGATTCTATTAAACACCTATTTGGGCGGAATATTTCTGGGGTCGTTTTTGGCAGATTCCAAACAGGTACCATCACCGATTTCGTGCGATTTTTTGGAAAGGCTATTTTCCTTGGATTTTGAAGGCGACGGATCACAGATTCGTCATTAGGGTACTCTCCACCAATGATGAAGTCTACTAATCTCCGATTCTGTGCAGAATTTTATTCGAAATTTTTGGGATGGCATTTTGGTAATTTTTCGGCTATTTTTTCGAAAGCCCGTTTGCAATGGATTTTGAAGGCTGCATATTACGGATTCATGCTAGGCTATTCTTTAGGGATGAATAAGTCTATTAAACACCGTTTCGGGCGGTATATTTCCTGGGCTATTTTTGGCAGATTCCATAGGGGTACCATCAACGATTTCGGTCGATTTTTTAGAAAGACCATTTTTCTTTGATTTTGAAGGCGACGGATCACAGATTCGTTCATAGGGTACTCTCCACCAATGATGAAGTCTACTAATCCCCGACTTGTGCCAAAATTTGTTTTAACTTTTTCGGTTGGCATTTTGTTAACTTTTTTGCGATATTTTCGAAAGGTCGTTTTTCATGGATTTTGAAGGCTGCATATCACGGATTTAGGCTAACGCTATTCTTTAGGGATGAATATGAAAATTAAACCCCATTTCGTGCGGAATATTTCCGGGGCTGTTTTTAAAAGATTCCAAAGGGGTACCATCACCGATTTCGGGCGATTTTTTGGAAATACCGTTTTCCTTTGATTTTGTATGCGACGGATCACAGATTCGTCATTAGGGTACTCTCCACCAAGGATGAAGTCTACTAATCCCTAATTTGGACAAAAATTTGGTTGAACTTTTTCGGAGGGAATTTCGGTAACTTTCGGCGATTTTTTCAGAAGTCGATTTTCCATGGATTTTGAAGGCTGCAGATCACGGATTCAGGCTGGGCTATTCTTGAGGGATGAATAAGTCTATTAAATACCATTTAGGGAGGAATATTTTTTGGGCCATTTTCAGCAGATTCCGAAGGGGTACCATCACCGATTTCGGGCGATTTTTTGGAAAGGCCATTACCTTTAGATTTTGAAGGCGACGGATCACAGATTCGTCCTTAGGATACTCTCCACCAATGATTAAGTTTACTAATCACCAATTTTGGGAAGAATTTTGGTCGAACTATTTAAAGGGATTTTTGGTGATTTTTCGGTGATTTTTTCAAATGGCCGTTTTCCAGGGATTTTGAAGGTAGCAGATCACGGATTCAAGCTAAGGCTATTCTGTAGGGATTAATATGTCTATTAAACACCGTTTCGGGCGGAATATTTCCATTGCCATTTTTCGCAGATTCCAAAGGGGTACCATCTCCGATTTCGGGCAATTTTTTGTAAAGAATTTTTAATTGGATTTTGAAGGCGGCGGATCAGAGATTCGTCCTTAGGGTACTCTCCACCAATGATGAAGTCAAATAACTGACGATATTGGGCAGAATATTAATCGAACTTTTTCAGAGGGCATTTTGGTGATTTTTTCGAAAGGCTGTTTTCCATGGATTTTGAAGGCTGCAGATCACGGATTCAGGCTGTGGCTATTCTTTTGAGATGAATAAGTATATTAAACAACGTTTCGGGCGGAATATTTCCGGGGCCATTTTTCGCCGAGTCCAAAGGGGTACCATCACCTATTTCGGACGATTTTTTGGAAAGGCCATTTTCCTTGGATTTTGAAGGCGACGGATCACAGATTCGTCCTTAGTGTAATCTCAACAAATGACGAAGTCTACTAATCGCCGATTTGGGCAAAATTTTGGTCCATTTTTTTGGAGGGCATTTTGGTAAATTTTAGACGATTTTTTCGAAAGGCCGTTTTCCATTGATTTTGAAGGCTGCAAATCACGGATTCAGGCTATTCTTTAGGGATGAATAAGTCTATTAAACACCGTTTCGGGCAAAATATTTCCAGAGCTTTTTTTGGCAGATTCCAAAGAGGTACTATCATCGATTTCGTGCGATTTTTTGGAAATGCCATTTACCTAGAATTTTGAAGGCAACAGATCACAGATTCGTTCTGAGGGTACTCTCCAGCAATGATAAAGTCTATTAATCGCCGATTTGGGCTGAAATTTGGTCGAACTTTTTCGGGGGGCATTTCGGTAATTTTTTGGCGATTTTTCGAAACGATTTTTCCATTGATTTTGAAGGATGCAGATCCCAGATTCAGGCTCAGGCTATTCTTTAGGGATGAATAAGTATATTAAACAACGTTTCGAGCGGAATATTTCCCGTGCCATTTTTGGCAGATTCCAAAGGGGTACCATCACCTATTTCGGCGATTTTTTGGAAAGGCATTTTCTTTTGATTTTGAAGGCGACGACTCACTGATTCGTCCTTAGGATACTCTCCACCAATGATAAGCCTTCTAATCGCCGATTTGGGCTGAAATTTGTTCAAACTTTTTCGGATGGCATTTTAGTAAATTTTTGACGATTTCTTCAAAAGGATGTTTTCCATGGATTTTGAAGACTGCAGATCACGTATTCAGGCTGAGGCTATTCTTTATGGATGAATAAGTCTATTAAACACCGTTTTCGGGCGGAATATTTCCGGGGCCATTTTTGGTAGATTCCAAATGGGTACCATTAGGGATGGCAGAATTACCCATGCCCATTGGATTTTAAGTATCCAACCCATGTGGGTCAGGTCTGAAATCCAAGTCAAATTTAATGGGTAAAGTCTAAAGGGTCAACACCCATACCCATAATGTTGGGTCCAGTTGGGTTTACCCATGGATTTGGGTTAAAAAACCCAAACCCAAATAATTAAACGAAAAGGAAAAAAAACATCGCCCACCACTTCATCTCCCTCTGGAACTCGATACGCTAGCTTTCTCTTCTCAAATCGATCGGATTCCAGGGAGCAAGAGGGTCAGGTCGCTTCACCCAGTGGCTGGCTTCCTCAACACCATCGACGGCTTCGCACATCGCTAGCTCCTGCTATCCTCTCGATCACGAGACGGAGTGTTTTCTCTTCTTCGATCGGTCAGAATCCGGAGAGCAAGAGGGTCTGGTCGCTTTTTCTCGTCGCCCACCCCCTTAACACCGCTGACGGTTTCGCGAATCGCTGGCTCTTCCTCTCCCTCTCAATCTCGAGACACCCGTTTTCTCTTCTTCGATCGATCGGAGTCCCGAGAGCACGAGGGTCTGGTCGCCCGCCATCACAAGATCACCAAAAGCTTCGCGAATCACCTGCTCTTTCTCTCCCTTTCGATCTCGAGACCACGAGAAGCCCACTCCGCCAGGCTCCAGGTATTGTTCATCTTACCCTAAGTTTTTGAACTGGGTCTTTTGAGAGCTCTGTTAGTTCATTCAGGGGATTTGATCAAGGGATAGGGTTTTTGAACGGGTCTTAGTAGTGAATTGGGTCTAAACTGTGATTGAATTTTAGTTTGAATGAAAGTTTAATGTCAATGGAAATTTTGATTGGAAACATTTGCTGCTTGCTTGGTTACTGAACGTGTCCAATGTTTGTTGCTTGCTTGTTTGCTGTGATATTAATGTATATGGTCTTTTGCTGCTGTAATTCTAGTTCTGGTAGGTCTTTTCTGTGTTGCATGTGCTAGTTGTTGTGTAGAAGGCATCGGCTTATTAATGTATATGGTTCTTTGCTGCTGTAATTCTAGTTCTGGTAGGTCTTTTCTATGTTGCATGTGCTAGTTTGTTACATTAAATACTTCTAGGAGAAAGATCATAAAAGGGGATTCATCTTCTGGGAGGCGAAGGCAACAACTTATTAGTTTATTACATTACATACTTGCAGCTTGCCTAGCATATATGCATTCGTCAAGCTGCATAAGGGGAGAATTGGGCAATTTAGTGTTGCAAAAGGGAATTTTTTGCTAGGAATAGAGTGTGCAAGGAAGGCAGAATGTGAGAACATAGGTCAGAATAGGAAAAGAGTGTTATATTATATATGGAGGCTCTGATTGCTGTGTGTTATGATCAGTAGGTTTCCATTTTTGTAAGTGGAGGGGAGAGCTGCAAAGTTTAAGTTGTTAGTGTAGCAGTAGTGTGTAGTTGCATAAAGAGAGAATTGTAGTTGCTTTGTTCAAGCTTGTTTACTCTCATTTTCATATGCATCGGTCTCCATTTACAAAGCGTGATGAGCTATTAGAATTTCAAGCATAGATTAGTAACTGTTATATCATTATATTCTGCAGGTGTTAGTGGTTCAACTCAAACCATCTTCTGTGATAATGATCATGGTGGTGATGAACAAGTGATGAAATGTGAGGAATGAGAAAGAAAGAATCTGACAGGGATGATAACTGATAAGGGTACTTGGACGACGACAACCAGCTTCCTTCTTCGAGGGACTATTTAGTATTTAGGAGAACTCTTGCAATGGCGGCCGCCCACTGAGTTGGAGAATAACCAAGCTTTTTGGGTAGCTCTCATTTTCCTTCAAAACAACTCATTGATTTGATTTCAGCACTACAATCGTCAACCTTAGGTCCCAGATCGCGACCGCCCGGAGGATGACAACGACGATTTCAACTCTGCCTCCGCCGCAGGAGCCCCGATGCCCCGCCACCAAGTAACAACCCCACCACCCAACAGCTCTTCACGGAGAGCAAGGGGCCGGAGCTCATCCCATCGGCGGCACCGCCTGATCAGTAGCTGAAGTTGTCGGAAGTGGAGTCCCCGGCGCCGCCGAAGCAAGTCGAGCACGGAGGAAGAGCAGGAGCAGATCCAGTTCCAGGAAGTAGGAGATAGCTGTTGTGCAATTTTACGTTTTAGTACCTGATATTTATAAAGAGATACAAACAGGTCCAACATCATGTGCAGAAAATTTTATTTTAGTACCTTAAAATTTTTGTTTTGCATTTTCGTACCTGATAAATAAAACATTTACTAGCAGGTCCAAAGAGATGGGTACCCAAGCCCAATCCATACCCATTTTCAAACTGAAAATAAAATCCAAACCCAACTCTACCTACCCAAACACTATCCAAATCCATATAGAATAAATCCATACCCAACCCATATAGATGGGTATAATTGGATTTGGGCAAAAATACCCATGGGTGGGTAAATTGCCATCCCTGGGTACCATCAACGATTTCAGTCGATTTTTTTGGAATGCCATTTTTCTTGGATTTTGAAGGCGACGAATCACAGCTTCGTCCTTAGGGTACTCTCCACCAATGATGAAGTCTACTAATTGGCGAAGTTGGGCAGAACACCATTCCGGCGGATTATTTTTGGGGCCATTTTTGGCTGATTCCAAAGGGGTACCATCACCGATTTCGGGCGATTTTTTGGAAATGTCATTTTCTTGGATTTTGAAAGCGGCGGATCACATATTCGTCCTTAGGGTACTCTTCACCAATGATGAAGTTTACTAATCTTTGATTTTGGGCAGAATTTTGTTCGATTTTTTTCGGAGGGCATTTTGGTAATTTTTCGTCGATTTTTTTGAAAGGCAGTTTTCAATGGATTTTGAAGGCTGCAAATCACGGGTTCAGACCGAGGATATTCTTTAGGGATGAATAAGTCTATTAAACACCGTTTCGGGCAGAAAATTTTCGGGGCCATTTTTGGGAGATTCCAAAGGGGTACCATCGTCGATTTCAGGCGATTTTATAGAAAGACATTTTCCTTTGATTTTGAAGGCGACGACTCACTGATTCGTCCTTAGGGTACTCTCTACCAATGATGAAGTCTACTAATCGCCGATTTGGGCAAAAAAAAATTCACTTTTTAGGAGGGCATTTTGTTAATTTTTCTGCGGATTTTTGAAAGGCCGTTTTTCATGGATTCTCAATGTCGCAGATCACGGATTCAGGCTGAGGCTTTTCTTTAGGGATGAATAAATCTATTTAACACCGATTCGGGCGGAATATTAACGGGGCCATTTTCGGGAAATTCCTAAGGGGTACATCACCGATTTCGGGCGATTTTTTGGAAAGAACATTTTCCTTGGATTTTGAAGGAGACAAATCACAGATTCGTCCTTAGAATACTCTCCACCAATGATGACGTTTACTAATCGTCGATTTAGGCAGAAATTTTGTCGATATTTTTGGTGGTATTTTGGTAATTTTCCGACAATATTTTTTAAAGGTCGTTTTCCATGGCTTTTGAAGGTTGCAGATCACGGATTCAGGCTGAGGCTATTATTTAGGGATGAATAAGTCTATTAAACACCTTTTCGCGCGGAATATTTTCGGCGCCATTTTTGGCAAATTCCAAAAGCGTACCATCACCGATATCGGGCTATTTTTTGAAAATGCCACTTTCCTTTGATTTTGAAGGCGAGGGATCACATATTCGTCCTTAGGTCAATCTCCATCAATGATGAAGTCTACTAATCGCCGATTTGGGCAGAAATTTGTGCCAACTTTTTCCGAGTGCATTTTGGTAATTTTTGACCGATTTTTTCAAAAGGTGGTTATCCATGGATTTTGAATGCTTCATATCACGAATTCAAGCTGAGGCTATTCTTTAGGGATAATTAAGTCTTTTAAACACCGTTTCCAGGGGAAATATTTCCGGGGCCAATTTTAGCATATTCCAAAGGGGTACCATCTCCTCTTTGAGGGGATTTTTTAGAAAGGCCGTTTTCCTTGGATTTGGAAGGCGACGGATAACAGATTCGTCCTTAGGAAAATTTGTACCAATGATGAAGTCTACTAATTGCCGATTTGGTCAAAATTTTGGTCAAATTTTTTCGGAGGGCATTTTGGTAAATTTTCGGATATTTTTTCGAAAGGTCGTTTTCCATCAATTTTGAAGTCTGTAGATCTAGGATTCAGGCTGAGGCTATTCCTTAGAGATGCATAAGTCTATTAAACACCGTTTCGGGCGAAATATTTCCGGAGCCATTTTTGGCAAATTCCAAAGGAGCATCACCGATTAAAGGCGATTTTTTGGAAAGGCCATTTTCCTTGGATTTTGAAGGCGACTAATTTCAGATTCGTCCTTACGTTACTCTCCACCAATGATGAAGTCTAATAATTGCCGATTTGGGCAAAATTTGGTCGAACTTTTTCTAAAGGCATTTTGGTAAATTTTTGGTGATTTTTTCGAAAGTCAGTTTTCCATGGAATTTGAAAGTTGCATATCACGGATTCAGGCTGAGACTATTCTTTAGGAATGAATAAATCTTTTAAACACCGATGCGGGCGAAATATTTCCCCTGCCAATTTTGGCAGATTCCAAAGGGGTACCATCACTGATTTCGGGTGATTTTTTGGAAATGCCATTTTCCTTGGATTTTAAAGGCGACGGATCACAAATTCGTCCTTAGGGTACTCTCCACCAACGATGAAGTCTACTATTCGCCGATTTGGGCAATAATTTGGTCGAACTTTTCAGAGGGCATTTTGGTAATTTTTCGGCTATTTTTTTGAAGTGCCGTTTTCCATTGATTTTGAAGGCTGCAGATCACGGATTAAGGCTGAGGCTATTCTTTAGGGATGAATAAGTCTACTAATCGCCGATTTGGGCAAAATTTTGGACGATGTTTTTCTGAGTGCATTTTGGTGATTTTTTGGCGATTTTTTCGAAAGACCGTTTTCCTTCGATTTTGAAGTCTATAGATCAAGGATTCGGACTGAGGATATTTTTTAGGGATGAATAAGTCTATTAAACATCGTTTCGGGCGGAATATTTTTGGGGCCATTTTTTGCAGATTCCAAAGGGGTACCATCACCGATTTCGGGCGATTTTTTGGAAAGGCCATTTTCCTTTGATTTTGAAGGCGACGGATCAGAGATTCGTCCTTAGGGTACTCTCCACCAATGATGAAGTCTATAAATCGCCGATTTGGACAATATTTGGGTCGGACTTTTTCGGAGGGCATTTTGATAATTTTTCGGCAATTTTTTCGAAAGGCCGTTTTCCATGGATTTTGAAGGCTGCAGATCGCGGATTCAGGCTGAGGCTATTCTTTAGTGATGAATAAGTCTATTAAACACCGTTTCGGGCGAAATATTTTCGGAACCATTTTTGGCAAATTCCAAAGTGGTACCATCACCGATTAAATGCGATTTTTTGGAAAGACCATTTTCCTTTGATTTTGAAGGTGACCGATCACAGATTCGTCCTTAGGGTACTCTCCACCAATGATGAAGTCTACTAATCGCCGATTTGGACAGAAATTTGGTCGAACTTTTTTGGAGGGCATTTTGGTAATTTTTTTACGATTTTTTTGAAATGCCGTTTTCCATGGATTTTGAAGGCTGCAGATCATGGATTCAGGCTGAGGCTATTCTTTGGGGATGAATAAGTCTATTAAACACTGTTTCGGGCGTAATATTCCGAGGGCCTTTATTGGAAATGCCATTTTCCTTGGATTTTGAAGGCGGCGGATCAAAATCGTCCTTAGGGTACTCTCCACCAATGATGAAGTCTACTAATCGCCAATTTGGGCATAATTTTGGTCGAACTTTTTCGGAGGGCACTTTGGTGATTTTCGGCAATTTTTTCAAAAGACCGTTTTCCATGGATTTTGTTGGCTGCAAATCACGTATTCAGGCTGAGGCTATTCTTTTGAGACCCTTACGTGCATTAAGTTAGGAAAATTACATGAAAATAATTTTGTGGATGTATGAGACATAGTTCAAATGAGGTTACCATTTGTAGACCATTTTTGACATTTTTATTCTCATCCAACTCTATAGATTGGAGACTTTTCATAAATTTTCCCTCAATACGCTCTCTTAACATTGCATAATTAGCTAAAGCACCAAAATACAAAGGCTAGCACATTTAATATCAAAATTTAAAATATTTGTATAAATACACTTAAATACGACATATTTTTTTTCTAATAATTGAAATTCCATATTGAGTTAATAGGCATCTATCTTCCATAGATGACCATAATAACGAACTGTTTTCGGGCGAGAAAACCTGTGCTGAATTGAGATAGATTGCACATTTGACTTCTTTGGACAACGATTTCTAAACACGGTTCAAACCTCTTCAAAAATAGTTCAAACGAGGGTAATTGATTGATGATTTTTGGGAACACAACTAAATTAAATTTCTTCTACTCCTATAGTGGTTCGGTGAGAGCTCCAAACTAAAAACTACGTCTATGGCTACACGATAGAGAAAGACAAAGGACAAACTTTAAATGTGTGTAAGAGTGTTGGTTTTTGGGAACCTCTCTCTCTGTCGACCCTTCCTCCTATTTATAGCAATGGAGAGATAACTATCGCAAAAAACTGCCTCTGAGATAAGTCCCAAAAGAACCGCTCCCTGCTTCCTCGGAGTGGTTATTACTCCTTCAATCGCTTAGGTGCTTCTCTTGGAACCTCCGTGGGTCTTGGAGTGTAGCTTGCCTCGCCTGGTCTTGTTCCAAGTCTCGTGCCATGCTAGTTTTTTGATAAGCATGTGATGTCTCACAAATGGGGTCGTGGTACTCTTGCCAGGAGGCCATGGACTTGTTACTCATGTCCATGGTCCTCTTGGGACCTAGTCATTAGTGATATAATGCTCAACCGTCCACCACGTCCTTCACATTCGTGTCCATGGTCCCTCTCGTGAGGCGGCATGTCCTTCTTAGACTTAGTATATTTTGGGTCATTCGGTCTTGGTCATGAGGCAACATGACCTCTTCATTCGCGGCCACGGACTTCTCAGTCATGTTCGTGGCCCTTCTCGTGCACGGCA